GCTGGCCCGAGCTGCCGGCACGCGCCAGAGAGCAGATCCGTGGCGCGCGCCTTATCTTCGACCGCGACTCGGTGCCGCTCGGCGACCGAGACCAACTGCGCCTCCCGCCCACCACGCACCAGGAGCTCTTTCCGCCCCAGCACGTGCGCCCGCCGCCCCGCGCGCCCTGCCGCCACCTCGGTGAGCGCGCGCCCGCGCCGCCTGGGCGATTCGCTGACCCAGTGGTTCTCAAAGAAAGGCAGGGATTCTGCACCCCCTCTCCTCCAGGGGACAGTTGGCAATGTCTGTAAACGTTTTTGATTGTCACGACTGGGGAAGAGGGTGCTACTAACAGGAAGTGAGTAGAGGCCAGAGATGCTACTAAACACCCTGCCTCCCATAAGGCAGCCCCCACCACAGAGAACTAGCCAGCCCCAAATATCCTTAGTACCATGACTCAGAAACTCTGGAACCTCCTGAAGCCTAAATTTCTGCATCTGTAGAATGGGCGTATCTCCCAAATTTCTCCAGAGTGCTGTGCAGTGGGCAGAAGTCGTGAATGCTAGTTTGGGGTCAGACAAATCTGCCTCAGTAGCACGCCTTAGTAGTTGTGCAACTCTGAGCAAGTTGATCTCTCCAAGCCTCATTTTTCTCATCTGCAAAATGGGTTCAACTTAACAGAAGCAGGTGAAGCTGGAGGAGCCCAGTGTGCATCATGTGCCTGGCACATAGGGAACACTCAACGAAGAGGAGCCACCATTCGTGTGCTTTACCAGTTCTGTGATTCCAGGGGCCCTCCTGGTGGGCATCACTAATCAAAACCTCTCCGAGCTGGGCTCAGGGATTATCAGTCCTGGTTTTGACTCTTAGTTCTGGCTCCTAGTGGCTCAAGAACTTAATCTAGGCACCTGGCTCAGTGCTTGGTAGTTATCTTTGATATTATTATTTTTATTATTTTTGGTGTTTTCCAGACGGCCCTCGGTCTAGACTGGTAAGGACTACCCAGCTCCCCCCCCCTTTTTTTTTGTCTTTTTTTTCGTGACCGGTAAGGGGATCACAACCCTTGGTGCGGTGTTGCCTGCACCGCGCTCAGCCAGTGAGCGCACCAGCCAGTCCTATATAGGATCCGAACCTGTGGCGGGAGTGTCCCTGCGCTCCCAGAGCCTCACTCTCCTGAGTGCGCCACGGGGCCGGCCCCCCAGCTCCCCTTTTGAGGCTAGGAATCAAGTCCCAGTGGGCCCAAGCCCACAGAAATCGATTCCATTCTCTTTCTCTCCTTCTTGCCCATTCTCAGGGGGGCCCAACACCCTCAAGTGGGACTATAGGAACCAGGATGGGACCTCCTACCAGAGACAGTTCCAGGCGCTGCTGGGCCTTCCTGCCTTGATGTGTAAGAGGGTAAATCAAGGCTGGGCTAAGGCTGTTGGGGAGGGCAGCAATGGGGGCTAGGTGGTCTTGGCCTTCCCATCCCTGTCTGCCCACAGGCCTCCTCCCACGTGGAACTGGGAGACTGCAAGATTGGCTATGGACCCATGAGTTCAGAGCAGAAACAGGCCTACACGCCCCAGGGGCTGCCTCCAGACAGGTACAAAGGGACCGTAGCTTTGCCACCAACATGGAGCAATGGGCTTTCAGTTGCATGTAGGGTGTGCCACCTAGGACTCTAGGACCAATACTCTGCCTTTGAGGTCTCTGTCACTGGCATACATGGCCCACTATTGTACCAGATCTCCCACTACTGGTGCTCTACAGCTTGGACAGGGGACAACCCTGCTCCCCTCCACTTTCCTGGGAGTTGTAAGGGCCCAGATGGATTCCACCTTACCTTATCTGCAGGTATGACAAGGCCCAAGCCGCGACCAACATCCATCATGTGAATATCCGTCCTGGAGATGGCCTTTTCCACGACAGAACCACTAAGGCTGAGCACTTCTATGCCCGGGAGCCAGGTGAGAGTCTGTCGCCTGCCTGCCCCCAACGCCCACGACAGCCTACCAGAGCTGCTCAGCACCTTCTCTGCCACTGGCAGAATTTTTTGTTCTTCACCACGATCAGACTCCGGAGTCGCACATCCTAAAAGGAAATTGGTGCCCCGGTCCGGGCAGCCTCGACACCTTCACTCGGTTCTTTTATGGCCAGGTCAGCGGGAAGGGGGAGAAGGCGGCAGGGCTCCTCAGGGCAAAGGGCTTTCCAGGCAGAGCGAAGAGCAAGGGTGAAGACCCCGAGGTGGGAGTGAGTGTGACAAGGATACAGGGATCTCCTGGATCTATTCGAGTGGCGTAGCATAAGTCTCTTAGCCACTCCGAGCCTCAGTGGCTCTCTCTGTAAAATGAGATAACAGTACCGACTCCCAGCGCCATCGCGTGGGGCCCAGAGAGGGTGAGAGAGCTGTCTAAGGTCACACAGCGCCCACCACCTCCCATCCACGGAGCCCCGGCACATCCCGGACCCGGGAGCTTCCCAGATGCAATGTGGTTCTACAGCCGCCGCCCCCGACCCAGCCACCCTCCCGCCACGTGCCCCACGAGAAATTGCAGAGTCACGTGACCCTAGGAGAGGCGAAGCTGCTCAGACACTTCTTCCAGACCACCATGGACTCACACTACTGCTCCCCAGAGACGCGGCGGCCACAGAAAGCGCCCAGCCTCCACTTGCAGCACAGCAACCTGCTGCAGGGAACCGGCGGTGAGCGCCCCGCTCCCTGGAAAGCCCCGCCCCTGGCACGGCTCTCGCCCCGCCCCTGCCACGGCTCTGGCCCCGCCCCTGCCACGGCTCTGACCCCGCCCCTGCCAATCCTACCCACCCTCCGCCTGACTCTGGCTCCATCTTCTGGAGGGCTAAATCCCCCCCCCAATTGACCAGGACCCCAACTCCGCCCCCGGACACCCCAGCCCCTCGTGGCCATGCCCCTCCTCCCTCTACGGCACCGCCCCCTGCATGACCCCGCCCCTCTGGCCCGGCCGTAGCCCCGCCCCTCCCCCTTACCTAACACTAGCCCCTCCTCTGTCAGACTCTGGCTCCACCCCTGACCTACCTGGCCCCACCCTCAGATTCCTCTGGCCTGGCCCCGCCCCTGGCCTCAGCCCTACCCTGAGTCCTCCCTCCCACCCCCCTATCCGTCCTTTGCCCCAGGCTTGGCCCTTGATTCCTTCCCCCCACCCTTAGTCTTTTGCACATCCCCACCCCCTCGGCCCAGCCTGGCCTCCCTCGGCCCCCCACCTGGGCCTCCCCCATGCAATGTCCTGAATCACATTTTTTTTGCGGGGCGGTGGGAGGGCGGCTAGCCATTATGGGGATCCGAACCCTTGACCTTGGTGTTATCAACACCGCGCTCGCAGAATCAGATTTTTTAACCATGAACCAGAAGATGCTGAAGCCGCACAGTACAGCTCGGGCCCCCGTGACCGAAGAGATGCTACAGCGGGTGAGGAGGGGAAAGGGAGACATCCCTCAGCAGGTAACCCCCAAATCAATGTAGGATTATCTCAAGACGATTCTGCTGTAACCCTAGCCTCAGTATTAGTGTCAAGTCCACTAGGGTCACCCCGGGCTCAGGGTCATCTTAATGTCACCCTAGCTTCAAGGTCATTTCTAGCTCACCCCTCTCCCCCTGGTCATGTCAGGGTCAGCTCAGGGGCATCTTCATATCACCAGCCACATTTATACCCCAAGCTGAGAGCTAACTTAGAGTCGCCTAGGATCACCCCAGCCCTGGAATCATTCACCCCAGGTCAGCCCAGACAGGGACACTTTTGCCCACCTCTCCAGGGCTCAATCACCAGCCAAACCTGGCTGAGCCTCTCCCCACACTTTGATGCCCCCAGGGTGGTCTGGGGACCATAGGGCGGCCCCTGGCGGGTCAGCCCCCCTCCAGGCTGCCCTGCCAGTCTACCGACCCTGACTCTACAGTGCAAGTACAGCCACGTGGAACCCCCGCTGGGTGAACAGCGCTTCTTCTCAACCCAATACGAGGATGAGTTTCCTTTCAAGCACCAGGGCGCGGCAGTGCTGAGAACAGGCAGCTTCCAGGAGAGCCACGTGCCACTGGGCACGTCTCGCCAGTGGGGCTGTGGGGGCGGGAAGACAGACCCTCGGGCCCCCCAGCCCCATATGTACCCATGCCCCAGCCAGCAATAAATGTCACTTGGCAACACCTCACCCCTCCCCATTAGTCAGCAGTTAAAGAAGATGTTTGGGTGGATGAGGGCTGGAGGAAGGGTCTGTATAAGAGAGAATGAGTCCATCGAGAAAAGCCTGAACGCCTGAACAGACATTTCTGCGGACTCTGAATGACATTAAGAGCACGGAGTCATAGTGTTGAACAGGCATTGGGGTGAGGGGTTGAGAACACGGGCTTCCAGTCCAAATCCTGACACAGTCCAAATCCTGACTCCTCCATGTCCTGGATAGTAGTATTGGGCAAATCACTTAACCCCTCCAAGCCTCAGTTTGCTCATCTGTAAAATGGAGATAAATAGTAAGTCTCCCATTAGATTGTTATGAACGAGAAATGTACACATTTGTCAGTGTGTGTGACTGGGGTCGTGGGGTGAGGGGAATTTCCCTTCTGAGGATGAAAGTGAGGAGGAGGAGGAAAACAAGGACGTGGGAAGGAGCTTTTGATTGTGGAGAGACTGGGTGGGGCTAGGGGAGGGCCTGGAGGGGTGGACCCAGCCCAGAATGGCCCAGCAGTTTTCTCCATTGCGGGCAGATACTGGGAGCTGAATGGTGCACTGGCTGACTGGGCGGCTACCCCCCAGGTCAGAGTGGGGTCCTGGGGGAAATCGACAGAAGCCTTCAGGACATGATAAGGTCCAAAGGGGCAGGTGTCCAGCCAGGAACAAAATGAAAATGGTCTGAAGGAGGAGGACCAGGTGGGGTCCTGAAGCTAGTGGGTGGCAGACCTCAGCAAGGACTAGTACCTTGGACAGCACCCAATCTTTAAGATCTGGGGTCTGGTGAGGAAGAGGTCAGGTCTGCCTGGAATGGGGTAGGTCTTGGTGGCCATGCCCGGGGCCTCATCTGTAGGCTGCTGAGCATCCAGTTTCAATGAGTGAACATGGATTTCCTGAACCTGGAGTCAAACCTCCAAAGGCCAAGGCTCCCAATCCAGCGGGTCACTAGGAGCCAACCTCAAGCCTGGCCAAGAGTCCTTTCCCCATTAGCATCAGTTCTTCAAAGCCAGGTTGTCATGTCCACAGGAAGATCAGGAGTCCAGCTTTGGGTCCTATGGGGACAAGATGGCCCTTTTGGCTGCGCTTGTGGTAGGCCCATTGACCATGAGAGGGTCTGCTGGCTTCAGAATACCTCCTCTGTTTGCTTCCTCTAAAGATGTTTTGCATAACACTCTTCTTAGTTACTTCATGATAAACCAGGGTTTCTTCATCTCAGCACTATTGACATCTTGGATCAGAAAATTCTCTCGGGCCGGCCCGGTGGCACACTGGAGAGTGCGCCGCTTGGGAGCGTGGCGGCGCTCCCACCGAGGGTTCGGATCCCATGTGGAGACCAGTTCCCGCTCACTGGCTGAGCGCGGTGCGGGTGCAACACCGAGGGTTGCAATCCCGTTGCTGGTCCCCAGTACGGGCGCGACACCGAGGGTTGCAATCCCGTTACCGGTCAGTAAAAAAGACAAAAAGGGAAAAAAAAAAAATTCTTTGTTGGAGGCCTTCCTGTACATTGCAGAATGTGCAACCCACTAGATGCCAATAGCACACCTTCCTCCTAGTTATGACAGCCAAAATGTCTCCAGATATTGTCAAATTTACCCTGGGTGGAGGTGGGGGATTACCCTGGTTAAGAGCCATTGTAATAAACCCATCCTCTTCTTCTTTTTTTTTTTTTTTTTTTTCCTTTTTGAGACCGGCCGCACCGCGCTCAGCCAGTGAGTGCTGTG